AGCTTTGATCAGAATGGTCTGGGCATTAGTTACGTTTTTGGCTCCAGAAGGAGTCAGTGAATTTCCTTTTTCAGAGCAGAACATTTGTGCTTTTTACCATGATTCAGGGAACAGTTTTGTATGCTGAGATCGGTGTGTGGATGATTCATGGTGACACATTTTGTGTTGGCAACAGACCTCGTCTCGAAAGCCTTGATGTGCTGTGTGGTCCAGGCTGTGCCTCTCCAAAATTTGGGCTTGCAGCTGTAGTGACCCTGGGGAATCCGGCTGCAATCCCTGGACCACACGGAGACATCTCGCTGTTTGCCTTGCAGCTCTTTCAGGTGCAAGTTAGCGTCAGAGCTCACTAGGGCAGTATTTCAACCTTCAACCAAAAAGGCCCTTAAATAATGAAAGGAATTCCTCAACACTATCACGATTAAAATAAATAAATTATAAAGATTCAGATAAGCTGAATTCAGGTAGATAGTTGAAAGCAGTACAATTATACAAGTATTAGAATTTACTTCTGTACTATAAGTAAAAACATGACCTATTTTTCATTATTATGAAGAAAGACAGCTTGATTTTAAGATTAGGCATAAAATAAAAGCAGAGGTTCTTACTTGTGTAAGTGATATTAAATCCTCTTCCAGTGGTAGAGTGATCCGACTGAAATTCAAGTCTTACTATGTGCCCACTACTAGCCAACTGAGAAGGGACCTCATTGCCAGAAAAAGTGCCAAGAGGTGGTAAATCTGAAATCCCATCATCTTTCACTGTAAGGTAGTCAAATTGAGGTTCTACATCAAAGTCGTTGAAAATCAGATGGATTCTGCTTCCTGGCTCTGAGATAATTAACCAAACACAGTTCATATTGTTCCCATACTCCTCAGGATAATTTGGAGAAAGAATAATTCCAGACGGTGTGGTGAAGTTGAAGAAACATGAGACTGAAGAAAACAACAATAGATTCTTAAAATACTATCCATAAACCTTATAAATGCTGGTCTTTATATTTTTTATTCTTGTGGAAAAGGATGCTTTTGAAGTCTGGATATCAAAACTACTACACATGAAACTTGGAAATGTTTAAGACTGTCAGAACATTTCTCCAATATAAAGTTGGCCTTGCATGTTTTTATTTCCCTAAGTGAGGCTAAGTGACTGCACTAGGGCCTGCAAGAGATTATTCAAAGCATGTACAGAATGCCAAGGAAAGCAAAAGTAATGCCTGATGTGTCGGAATTTGGAAAAAATTGCAGGTGTGTTCTGAAATGAAAATGCAACTTCCAAATTTAACTGTGATTTTTTTCTGAAAGGAATATACATGAAAATGTATTTAGCAATCCAAGAAAACAAGCACAAGAGCAAATTTTGTCTGTAGTACACAAAGTTCATGCTGATGCAAACAATAGTAGAAATTTAGATGTGCCTCAACCAAGAACTCTTAAGAACATATAGTACAAACTTATTTTACCCCTAATCTCTCTTCGATAGCACAGGGCAATTAAACAAAATTGATTCATAACACTCTTCCTTTTTCACTCCTTTGAGCCAATTTTACTCAAGACAATTCCTAACTGATTTCAAAGTCATGAGCTTTTGACTGGTACTTTAGTGAGAAGCATAGTACATTCAGAAAGAGGAAGGCTCACTGCATATTGATTAACACAAAGGATAACCATTACACAGCTCTTCAAATGTGTGAAACTGAACTCAGTGTTTGTAAGCAGATGTTGTACGTTTGGATTTCATTGTCTTTCACAGGGCATGCACACATCAAACAGTAGAGCACAGTAAAATATTCCACACTATTGCCAACAGAAACTAATATAACAACCAAAAGTAATACAGCACCATGAAGAAATGCAACTTCTGCCTTCAAAGGGAATTGAAGGCGCACTGTCCCTGTGCCCAGGCTTAGACACATGCTTAGACACATTTCAGCATTGCACGGGCATATAGAGACTTTTTCTAGGCCAGAGCAAGCTTACTCAGTTTGGTAAATCCTACACCAACACAGCTGCAAAATACATATATGTCCAAGTAGAACTGGACATTTCACTAAGGTTGTTTTGAAAATCCAGTACTGAACTGTAAGACTCTTTACAGGAAAAGGTAATGTGGTCTGGAGAACTGAAGTCCCTAATATACCTGTGTACTAAAGATTTAGTCTACCACAGAAGAAGAATAAAAAAGAAAAGCAAAAAAACCAAACCTCTCCTACCTAAATCCATCTACAAGCTTACGTACAAACGTATTTTTATCTTTTAAAACAAAATTCAAAAACTAATGAACTTACCTACCCTTTTTCCATGTTGGATATCCTTATATTCCTTATACTCCTTTTCATGCTTTATTAAGATACTACAAAATAACCCTGATCTTTTCTTATGTGTATCTGCAAACTGCTTTGCACTGCCAGAACAAATGTGTATGTGCCACAGAGTCCTTGTGAACACTATATGCTATTAGGATTTGCTCATTTAAAGTCTAATTCAACACACATTTACATTAAGAGTGTTAAATGGTTCAATATAAAATGAGGAGAAAGAACATTCTAAAACAGTCCTACGTGATGTTCCCCGTAAATGAGCTACTGTTGAGCCAACTGAAAAATACATGTGACTGAAAGAGTCTTCAAGGTCTTTTGAAATGTTTTCCTGCTGGCTAGTCACAAATGCTAAGAAAAGCAAGAGTCTAAGGTCAGAAAAATAATACAGGAAAAAAAGAATTTCTTACAAACACAGCTGGGTTTGTTGCCAGACCACTGGTTGTTTTGTTGACATGTAATCGTTCTCTCTCCCACCAATTCAAAAGCTGCTTGACATTCAAAGGTAAGTGTGTCTCCATGCAGAAAACTGCTGCCAGTCCTTTTTCCGTATGATGGAATTCCAGGATCTCCACAACCTCCTTTCTCAATTTCTGAATATCAAAAAATTCAAACACAATAATAAGGAAAACATATTTGCAAGCAATTTATAGGTCAGTATCAGAAGTGCATTCATAATATTGGGTATTATATCTTAAACTAATGTTTACAGACGAAAGTGAACTAGAGGTAAATACTGTAAAACCGTCTGTAAGATGACTTTACGAACTAAAGTCTTTTCACAAGCTAATAGCTTCCATACTTGCATTGCATGACAAAATACTCATGTTTAACTGCATGGCTGCACTGAATTATAGCATATTTGAAGGTAAAATTATAAAGCCACAGATTCCTCTCTAACCATGGAGATATACTATGTATAGATCCTATGTCTGGTAATGAAGTAATAAAGAATGTATCTTAACTCTTCTATCTGTAATTCCATTTCTAAGGCCACTAGCAATACGATTAAAAGTATATAATTTACTGATAGAAACGATGAATTTCATTTTAAGCACTAAAATGTAATAAAAACAAAACTGAGAATTATTTCTTAGTCTCATACTTCAAATTAGAGCCACATTTTTATCAGTTGCATTCAGCTACACTGAAAAGAAATTCACATTTTGGATTATGCTTCCTAGATATTATCTAGGAGATCTGTTATTTAAATTATTTAATTCGTACATATCGAACACATATATAACAAGACAAGAGAAAAATGCAAGTCTTACGAAATTTATGAATAATATGAAAATTAGGAAAGGAAATGTAAATCTTCATTGCCTGGGATAGAAATGCTGAATCGTCTTACAAATTGTGATACACTTGGCTGTCCATCAAAAATAAAAGCTCCACCTCTTTGCCATTAAATTTAAAGCAGTTCTTCTATTCATTTTCATTTCAGCAACAACAGTAACAGCAAAGCACTTCTGGTTCTATAAACTGTGTTACTACATCTGTAGTAAAGTGATGTAAATCTCATTCAAATTGAATTAGTGACAAAATTCTCATTATTTAAATGTTTTCCAGTTCAATCCAAGGTATGAAATCTGAAACATTCAGGATGAAAAGAAAATTCAACTCACTGAATAGTATTAAATGTTAATATAATTTAACACCATTAATAATGTCTGCTGTCGAATATTGTTAAATCTACTAATGTTCAATCCTGGCGGAAGTGTATATCTTGACATGCTAACTCCAACAGAAATTTTAAGATGCAGGATGGCATTATTGTGATATCTGAAGTTAATCCGCTCTGTTTACACCCTTAAAGCAGTTGTGAACAGAACATTGACAAGCATGTTCAGAAAGCTATGAGTGTATTTCACAGAAGAAAAGGTTATTCACCAAGATAAAAAGAAGCTTACATTTTTCTCATGATAATCTTAAAATCAAACTTTGAAGAGGAAATTAGGAGTGACTATTCCATCTATGAATTACAAATAATATTTATAAATAAGTATTGAAAGTTATACGTATTTACAAATGCTTTATAGTTGTTTCACCTGCCTGCTCCTACTGAGACATTGATTCCTACTGCCACAGTAGAGCACTGGAAACCTGTGTGTTCCCAGCTATCCACAGCTCCACATCCTACATGAAAATGGGGGAAGCTACAGAAAATCAGAACCCACATTTTAACCGCATTTTAAAAGTTCATCTCCTCCACTGATAGCAGAGCTATATCTAATCCAACATGTGAGAATGATCACAAACACTCTTTTCCAGTAACCCGTCGTGTCTCGAAGATCAGGGCAATACTGCCTCAGGCAGGAGTGTCAGGAGGCAAACTGTGTGTGAGGTTTTGCAAAGGCTCTGCTGATTTGTCCCTTAAAAGAAAGCAACAACTGTTTCTTTTCATGGTCTATAGAGGAAGTATCAAATTATCGTGGTTATGTATCTGTGAACCCAAACTCTTAACAGAAAATACAGAAATTACCGTGAATTAAGCTTATTGGCAGGCTGCAAATTCCTATTTTGTAGGAAAATTTTTTTTGTACAGTACGTCTTTAGTCAGAACCGAGCTCTTACTGATGAAGGCAAGAACACAGGATAAACTTTGGAGACTAAGCAATTACTTTGGGCTTCTAATTATATCACCCTTCATCCAAGAATGGAAAACTTTACTTGGAGTGGAAATATAATTTGGATTTTTAAATATCTAATTTGCAAGCACAAACAAGCAGCTAAACTAAAAACTAATTTCAGGTCAAACATTTTTTAAAATACTTATATTCTTTGGAAAAATAAAGCCAAACAACTCATAAAAATGTCAAAATAAAAGCTATTAACTTTATTTCTATTTCATCTTTCAGGGTTTGTGATCACTTGTTCAACACAAAAACAATTCAAATGTTACAAACTTATAAAACACTTCTGAGGATGTCTTTGCATTTTGACAACAAAAAGCTTGAAAAATTCCATCCAGCTCTAGAAATCTACGTCTTCACAAACCTTGAAGTGAAGACTCTCTATCTTTAACAGAAAATGTGCTTTAGTCAAAAACAAGTTACTCAGGTTGACAGAAAGCACGCATTTAACGACAATGGATAGCATTCACCTCTATCTACAAGTTTCACATAAATCCTATATCTACAAGTTTCACGTAAATTTCCTGGTATGAAGGAATACTATGACATGCATATCTTTAGTATTCTTATTTATAACACACTACAGGTGTTACTATCAATACCACAATTTTAGATCAATTAATTATATCAATTAATTTTACAGTGAGACAAGGATCTATTGTTTTCACACCACAAAATCAAAGAGAACATCGAACTTAGATACTTTAACAACTTTTCATGCAATTTTTCAATTCAACATCTGTATATGCTCCTTTATTACAATTAATTAATGTATGCATCAGACAATTTCCTTCCAAAATATTTAAAAAACATCGATATCCAAAAGGCTGTGTCTTAGCTGGCTGAATTTCCAATACATACACTGATTGCAGGTCTGTAGTGGTTAAGACGACAAAACGTATCTTCCGCATAAAAAGATATAAATTTTTAGTAGTAGTCTCAGTTATAATGTCTGAATTCTTCTTTTTTTCGTTAAAGTATTGTAAAATATAAATCGATGTAAAAATTATGCAAGCAGCAGAACACCGTATTAAACCTTCACTTTCTCAGTGTTCAGGAGATGATGAGGGAGTGACAAAGCAGATTAAGTCAGGTGCAAGAGCGTCTGTACATTTCTGTTTACTAAAGAGCTAGCTTTCTGTCACAAATATTAATGACAGACCAAAACTTAGGGAACATGTAGAAGGCCAAATGCAGGGGTTTGTATATATGCATAAACAATACTACTTGTTTATAACCAGATCTAAAGTATTACAGGCATGTAATGATCCCCAACATTTTTCTGTCCTCTGGGAATTAACACAGTATTTTATTTCATTCTCTCGTCTGGTACCAGTCCGACTTCCACTGATATGATCAGAGAACAAATTTTTCAAATGTCTAAATTAAGTTGAAGTGCATTGTGCCAATTATTTCAACACATGCACCAATTATTCTGCTTCATAAATTGCAAAGAGGCTGTATATCTGTTTGCTGAAAAGAGAACATTCTTCTGACCACTACAGTTGGAGCTATGTTGAGCTCTTAGAGAAATCATACAGGACAGAAAAGGTTCTGAAAATGACAAACACAAAAACAAAAGCTATGCTAACCTATTTAAAGTGTGGCAATAAACCCCCTTTTCATTTAGGATTATTCTGTGTACTTATTCCATGCTGGACTTCTTTAGATTTGAGTCCTTAGAGCTGTGTGAACTTCATGAAGTTTGCAAATAAGCTCTCAAGCTCCAGTTTAAACACCAGCTTCCTCTGGTTACCAAAATATTAACAATGATCTTATTAAATTGTTTCTGTCTTTCATGTAGCCTCTTTCAGTAGCCTGAGGAAAGAGACTTTTCATCTTGTTTGTAAACTAGAAATATTTACGCAATTTCAAGGAATATTCTCTCTTTCATGTTGGAAGGATGACAAGATTAGATTTCAGAAAAGATCATACCCCTCTGAATTTAATCAAAGATGCTTCTGTTGCTGTGTTTTCTTTTGAAGGAAGAAAGATGGAAATTATAAAGAGATATTAAGCATCTAAATAAGTATTATGACCACGGCTTGAAAGGCGTCACATTGCAATTTAAGTCTTCTAATGAAAAAGCTTTGCATTACTTTGACGCAGGTATGTGAAATATGTAATAACATACTTCATAGATTGTAACATTTGGCAGTCTTGTATTTATTAGTCATGGCAGTCATCTGTCTTTTTTTCCCTTGTTTCTGGACTACAAATACAGAGTTAAAATGAAATGTTTAATGCCACTATATTTTCATTCGCACTATCCAATATTCTAGTTTAGAGAAACATCATCAAATCACTAAATCTGCAGCGAGATACAACTTTTACCAGTAGACTGTTAATAATATCCTCACACTTTAAAAATTAAGATGCATAAATGCAATTTAAATTAAATGTTTCAAGCACATGTGGGTCACACAGCAATTTATTGTTTCAAAGAAGAGATACATAAACAAACCTCAGTAGTTCAAGTCTATCAGAAAGTTGAAGTCAATGCTTCTAAAACCTAAAATCATGAATTTGACAACATTTCATAATTATCATCTTAGCTATAGTCAAGATAGGTTAAGGGGATCTGAGAGCTGACAGGTATACTATTACAAAAGAAGAGATAATTTGGCAGTTTATTTCTGTGTCAGACAGGACCTTTTCAGTGTAACACCTAAACTTTTACATGATAGGCCACAGAAATTAATGTTTTAAATACAAGAAAACTGATCACTTAGTTTATTTCCTCTTATTCCTCATACCTCCCTGTGTTAACAGTCATAACCTAACAGAGTGGAATCTGACACTCATATAACACTTTCTTAAATTTAGAAGAGAGACAGAAAAAATACTGTTACATAGAACAAACTGATCTGACAAATGCTGTGTTTTAATTATCCCAACTCATACACTATTTATTGTATACCATGAAGCTCTAAGCTGATCTTCCCACTGATCTCAAT